GAGTGTTTTTGAGACGGCGTCGTTTATAATCGAAGTGAACGGCGGAGCTCTTCTCCGGGTTCATATCGATGCGCCATTTTTTGAACCAAGCTCCTAGGTTGTCAACTGACTTTTGAACCTTGTTCCGTATGAAAGGTAGCGAGATACCTTTGCAGTAAATAGCAGTGTCGTCTGCGAAGAGGGAGAACTGAACACCTTTCGACGGGATGGGAATGTCGTTGGTGAACAGGATGTACAGCAGAGGAGCAAGTACTGAGCCCTGAGGAACACCAGCTTTAATAGAGCGCTGTGAAGATAGCGTGCCTTCGTGTCTAAAACGAAAGGTACGATGCTTTAAGTAAGAGGCCACGAGACGTACTAGACGATCGGGGAGACCTATCTTGTACAGCTTGTAGATAAGGCCTGTATGCCAGACTCTATCGAAGGCTTTAGCTATGTCGAAAAAGACCGCGATGGTCTTATGACGACGAGGATAAAAAACGCTGAGGATATATTCCACAATACGGTGAACTTGTTGGGGACATGAGTGCTGCGCTCGGAAACCGAATTGATGGGGAATGATTAGAAGGTCATTGTCTGTGGGAAACAGATAGCGCCTCATACGAGTTTGGATGACTCTTTCGAAGAACTTGCCCATTGCCTTGAGGAGGCTAATGGGGCAATGACTGAAGGGGAGGTTGAGAGGCTTGCCTGGCTTGGGAATACTAATCACAGTTGCCTCTTTCCACGTAGTGGGAAATTAACTAAGGTTGAAGCAGGCATTGAAGATAATAGATGAACAGGTTAACACCTGCTCAGGAAAGTGTTTTAGGGCTTGGTTGGAGATGCCATCCGCGCCCGGAGCCTTTTTAGGCTTAAGTCCTTTGATGAGGGATGAAATCTCATCATTGGACACAGAGATAGGTTCGGAGGCTGTAGGGGATGAGTTCCGGCGGCGGACCTCATCCTCCACTGCTTGGACGTGTGAGGGGTCGACGGATTGAGAGCTAGGAGAGCATTGTGCGCCAATACTATCTGCAAAGTACTCAGCCTTTTCCTCGTCCTCGAAGACAACCGTACCGTTGGGACGGGAGAGAGGGGGAGTGTGGGTGATAGCGTCTATGCAGAGGGCTCTAGCCATCTGATAGTACGCTGTATGAGATGGAGAGATATTCTCCATGAGTTTACTCTTTTCGAGGTCTCGAAATTCAGAGAGGCGGAAACGGAGTTCTCGTTGAAGACGATTGGCCGTGCGCCTATATTCGAGGGTGGGATACTTTGCTGCTCTCCGGAAAGCAGCTTTTATGGCTTTTAATAGGTTGCTATGTAGGGGAAGCCCACTATTGTTAGCAACCGGGACGACCCTTTCGTTCTCCTTAAGGGAGGATTTAATAAGGTTGGAGAGTGAATCGACCGTGGTGTCGGTTTTTTCGGGACTGTCTAAGTCTGACGGTAGGGAGATGGTAGAGTCCTGTGAGTCCAGAGCTTTAGCTAGGGACTCCTTGAATCCCTTCCAATTAGTGAAGGTTTTCGTGTGTGTTGGGAGAGGTGGCTGATGGCCAAGAATGAGGGAGACCGGTCGGTGATCGGATCCTAGATCGTCTAGTGTCTCGATTGCTCTGAGGTTGAGAGAAACTCCTTGGAGTAACGCAAAATCTAGTACATCGGGGGCGTGATCGGTGTTATCGGGAAAGTGAGTAACACCGAGGGGACTATGAACGGTAATATCAAGAGACTGCGTGATATCGAGCAGTATCTTGCCACTATGGGACGTAGTACGGCATGTCCATTCAGTATGCTTGGAGTTAAAATCTCCAAACATAATGAATGAATTGCCTAAAGATAAAATAGCCTCAAAATATTTTTTGAGGGGATGGGTTCCTGAAGGGATGTAACAGGAGGCTATGAGGATGGACTGATGTCCAGTCATAGCTAGCCTGCATACCGTGGCTTCCATGTTGGTAAGCTGCGGAGTAGAAATGGGCGAGCAGTGAAGTGTCTTCTTGTAACTTGTAATAGATGGCCCTTCCGCCGCCTCGGCGGTCGGGTCTGTCATTACGAAGAAGAGAGAAGTTTTTAATAGAAAGGCCTTTAGTGTCCTTAGTTTTGAGATTAGTTTCCTGTAGGAGGAGGAAATCGGCTTCAATTCGAGGTTATTTCGCAAACCGCGAATATTAAAGGATACAAGGGATAAACCCTTAGGTTTGATACGACCGTGAGACTTTGGTAGAGCAAACTGCTCTGTCATTGAAGTTAAGTTAACTAAGTTAACTTAACTTACAACGAGCACAAAAGATTATGATGCTCTGTAAGAGCGAGGAGACGGTCCTGAGGGGACCTCACAGCGCGCAATTTGCGTGCTAACACCGCGATTTCACTAACTTCGATGTTCCTAATAGCGGAATAGATCGTTTTTAGGTCTTCAATAGTGGGCTGTGATTGTTGTTGTTGTGGGGCGGGGGTTGTCCGCGGTGGGTCTGCCTTATTGGGGCCCCAGGGAAAGACTGGAGGCTGCATAGGCTTTGAGAAGCCCGGAGGGGGGCCGAATAATGCCCTGAGGGGGCCTAGGCGGACCCTGAGGGGGCCGAGAGAAGCCCTGGATGGGCTGAGAAAGGCCCTGACGGGGCCGTTGATAGAGAGCCGGTAATGAGCGGTCATTGACCGGCGGTGGAGCTTGCCTACTGGTGCGAGGTTGAGGTGCGCAGGGGCAGCCTCTGTAGTTAGCCGGGTGGCCTGTTTGTTTACACAGGACACATGCGGGTGGGGATTCGGCGTCTTTGGGCCGAGGACACTCTTTGGTGTTGTGGGGTTTAAGGCACTTAACGCACCTGGGTGGGGCGGAGCAGTTGGCCGCCGCATGGCCATATAGCTGGCAGCGGTGGCACTGCGCCGGGAATCCGCGCCTATGTGGGGGCTCAACCTTCACTCTCGACAGGCCACACACTGTGCGTACCCGCCGGAAGATTGAACCTCTTGCCCGTTCTACTATGCATTTTGTGCACGGCTTCTACGGGGAAACCTTGGGACTTAAGGTCCTCAAGGATTTCCTCGTTGGAGAATTCGAAGGGGACGCCTCGGATGACGGCCCTGACTTTACGCTCTTCCGGGAGAGCGTACGTGTGATATGAAACTCGTTCGGCTGTGAACAGCCTGGTGAGTTGACGGAAGTCCTCGATCGAGTTGGGGATGATTTTAATAGCCTCCCCGAGGTTGATGGCATGGTCGTATTTGATGCCTGCGTCGTAACAGGTTTTCGACAGTTGTGTAAATCTTGCCTTGTCTCTTAGGAAGACAGGGGGCGGGACTTGCTTCTTGGCAAGGACTGGAGCACATCGAGAGGCTGGTTTGGTCGGAGTCGGAGGTCGGATGTCTAGTGACAAGAGTGGGATCGCGGCAGCGGCGGGGGCTGCGGGGGCAGAGGTGGCAGCGGGGGCAGAGGTGGCAGCGGGGGCTGCGGAGGTTGTAGGAGTGGCAGGGGCCGCTGAGATAGGGGGGGTGCGTTTTATCGCGGCGCGCTTACCGTTGCGCTTGGAATTCACCGTGGTGAATGTAGACTCCCCGGTTCCGTCGGAGTCACAGGACTCCAATAACCCGGTGCCTGAATTGGTGGCGGGCCTCTTCCGGGAGGCCGACGCAGAGGACTCGGAGCATGCGTACTCCATCTCTAGGGGGGCAAAAGACTCTAGGGGGGCAAAAGAGTTCTTTGTTTCGAAGTATGTCGCGATTATGGGCGGCGGTTGGAGTGCCTGAGGGGCAGGGGGGAGCATGGGCGGCAATGGCGGCGAGGGCCGTCTCATCGAGGTCAATGCCCAGACCATGATTTTGGTTTAGGGCGGCGATGAGGTACTTAATTTCGCTAATTGAGATCATGTTGGGGCAGTGGTTCTACTATTAGTAAGGATTGGTTGTGGGACGGGTCCCTGTTCTCAGAAGAACAGGGAATTGAACACGGGACGTACTACGAGATAATACACGTATTATAATAATATTAGAAAAACAAAGAATAACAGAAAATAACAAAAATCAACCATACAGTATAACAGTAAAAATAACAATAAAGATAACAGTAAAATAACAGTAACAAGCGGAGGTCAGTCAAACCTCCCCGCCCGAGGACAGAGGGGCAAGAACTGTTAGCGAAAGTGACTCACCAATGCGTCGACGCTGTACAGCGCGAGCAGGACAGCGGAGGCGCGAGATCGAGAAAGCACTACCATACAAGGACGAGAGCGCGGACTACCTGGATGCGACCGCTCACAGAGTACATTGTATATACACGAAACGACCGCTCAAGAGCGATGCCACAGGCGGAATGTCTGTTTTAGTGTACGTTAAACATCGATAGACTATCGATGGTATCGATAGTAAATGGCTATCGATACTATCGATAGTTTTTAAAACTATCGATCGATTGTTTACTCGGGTACTACTTTTACATCCCTAGAGTCGAGGTATGCATGTATGTAAGTTATTCCCCGGCTATAGTGACAAAGGTATAGACATTGAGATTGTTCTCTATGGTAGGGGAATTACCGTGCGTATATCATACATTCAAAGGCGTAGACATTGAGATTCTTCTCTATGGTTGGGGAATTACCGTGCGTATATCATTCATTTACAAGACAAAAGTCAGTCAGTCAGTTTTTTATTGTGGATGTTTGAAGTTGAGTGGAGTAACAAACAATTTAGAATTAAACAATAAAACATGAGTAGTAAGTCACGTGCGTGGGATTACTTCAAAAAGACTAATGAAAAGTTTGCCAAGTGTTCTTTGTGTAAAAGAGAGTTTAAACTAAGTGGAAATACTACGAACTTGATCGATCATATGAAGAGAAAACATAATGAGGTATGGATGTGGTCATCCACTGTTTCTGTTACTCAAGACGTAGATACCACTGAGCAAAATGAGAAAATGGGCCCAAGCCCTAAAAAAGAGAAATACGCTAAAAAATTATTTTGATAGAAGTAGTAAATATCCAGATGGGAAAACAAAGCAAAATTTGGATAACAAATACGTGCGCATGATTGCTGTTGACATGGAACCTTTGCGAAAAGGAGAACATGAAGGATTTCGGGATTTTGTAAATGCTCTCGATAGTAGATATGAAATTCCTGATACAACAATATTGAAAAAGAAATTACTGCCGGAATATTATGAAAACGTGAAACAGAAGCTCGTCATAGCATTATCGAAAGCAGAACATGTTAGTGTGACTACTGACTTATGGACATCAATTGCAAATGAAGGCATCCTTTCAGTTACTTGTCATTTCTTTCACAACGAAAAATTAATTGCACCATTATTGGAAGTTGTGAAGATGGAAGGAAGTCATAACGCAGAAAATATAGCCAGTGTAAGTATTTTTAAATTTTATTGCCTTGATACCTACCAATTCAGTGTTTCTTTATAATCAGACATAAACAATATTATTATTGTTTTCAGATGTTGGATGCTACTCTCTCAAAATGGGATATCAGGTCAAAATGTGAAGCAATAACGACTGATAACGCTCAAACAATGATTAACGCCGCAGCCAAACTGCATATACGACATATACCCTGCTTTGCGCACACACTAAACCTGACGGTAAGTGATTCGTTTGCTGTGACCTGCTTAGACCAGATTCTGAAAAAAATGTAAATCGATTGTGACTTTTTTCAAGATGAGTACTCTAGCTAGCGATAAATTACGGGCTATTCAACGTGAATTAAATAAACCAGAACTGAAAGTGATCCAGGAAGTACCCACCCGCTGGAACAGTGCATACCACATGCTGCAAAGAATTGTTACAATGAAGACAGAATTAACTCTCGCACTTAATGAATGTAATCGGGCTCCACCAGGAGTCAATGCTGACGAATACCTAATTATTCAAGAAACAATTCAAATTCTGGAACCTTTCGATCTAGCTACAACAAAAATTTCCGGAGAAAGCTATATAACATTGTCACTGATAATACCATTGATTCGTGGAATAAAAACGAAATTAGTAGAAGTTGAATCTCAAATTGTTACTGAAAGCGGAAACAAAATATTACTCTGCATGAAGGGATCAGTTGACAAAAGACTAAGTCCCTATGAAAGCAGGACACCTGTTGTACTTGCTACAATATTGGACCCCAGATTTAAGAAGAAGGGGTTCAAAACAAGTGACGACGAAAAGCGAGCTGGTCAGTGGCTGGAAAAGGCCTATGCTAGCCATTTAACTAAAGAACGCTTGGCTGTAGAAGAAACGCAACCAACACCATCCACGTCTTCAGGAACATCTAATGACCTGTTGGGATTTCTAGACGTTCCGGACGTATCGACCCCGTTGAGTAACTCATTGGTAGATGTCAGGCAATATCTCGAGAAGCCAGTAATTGACAGAAAAGAGTGTCCTATAACATACTGGAAATACACCAACAATAAATTGAAGGAATTAGCGATGCTCTATCTCTGTATTCCAGCATCTTCTGTGCCTTCAGAACGAATATTTTCGAAGGCCGGACAAATTTTAACCGAACGCAGAAATAGGTTAAAAGAAAAAAGATTAAATGAATTGTTGTTTATAAAACAAAATAGCTGTTATTTTAATGATTGATTTCTAACTATAATAATGATGAATACTGATTTTTGATTGTTTGATTGTTATTTCGAATATATATATATCAAAATAAAATTCTACGTTTCGTATAACATTTGTTATTTTATTGATGTTACGCTAATCCTACAAGTTTTTAAACTATCGATAGACTATCGATACTATCGATAGTTTTTAGTTAAACTATCGATACTATCGGATTACCAAACTATCGATGTTTAACGTACAGTAGTCTGTTTGACAACGTAAGAGTCCTGGCATCATTTATATACTACATAAATGATGCCTCTTGCGACGCCCTTATATTAATTTGATTTACTAATTTATTTTTCCGGTTTAAGTTACTGCAAGTAACTCTCTGCGCGCGGTAACGAATTATCGTTTTATTGAGATTACGTATTCCCTACAAATATTAGTCTTTTTTTTTACAAAAGGTGTCTTTATATGTGCTTGTTGATACTAAACCGACGCTTTATTATTTATATATCTGTATTTTTATTTAAATTTGTTTTGTAGATGTATTGATATTTGATATTAATATTTGGTATTTAGGTGTGTCATATTAACTGAATGTGAAATCTGGCAGCACTGATGACGTGTCTGAACCTGAACTGAATTCTGTCTTGTCGACTTTAGATTTAGATCATAGATTACTGTGTATATTGGTTTAGATTTGTGAAGACAATTTCATAATAATAAATTTAGCTAGTTCTAAAGCTAGAGAAAGAGCTTAATAGGACTGTGAAATTCGGGTAATAATTATTTTTTGAAAATGAACATTGCGTTTATTTTAATATAGTATAGTTTTATTAATTAGATATTTCCGGACCGGGACCTTCAAGAAAAGAGCTTACTCTTTTCTAAAAGGCCGGCAATGCACCTGCAATTCCCCTGGTGTTGCAGTTGTTCATGGTCACTTACCATCAGGTGTGGCGCATGCTCGTATAAAAATCCCCCTCTTCTATAAAAAATATATCCATAATTTTATTATAGCAATTTTCGTAACCTTAAAAACACCTTGTTTGTTATTACTTTAGATCAATGAAGGTTTTAAAGGTATACTTTTTCTCTCCATTATTATAACAATAAGTGTCTGTAAAAATTATTCCTACTTCTTATTTATTAAAACTTGTTTCAGATTAAAACATCATCATGATCACAGATATCCAGCTAGCAGTTTTCTCTAACATTCTAGGGGTTTCTATCTTCCTCCTGGTTATACTATACCATTACATTAATGCTAATAGTACTAAATGATACAGGTAAGCTGATATTTATACATGAAATTGAAGTGACTGACAACCTTAGTCTCTCATTTCGAGAGGTATGGCATGGTCCAACTATTGAAATCATATCAATTAAACATCAAATCATCACATGGGTCATACACTGCCAGTGTTAAATTGAGCATTGCTGTGAATATGATTGTATAGTTGGAAGTGTATATGAACCACAGCTTGACACTTGTGATTTTTCACTTGAATGTATTTAAAAATGTAATATTTAAGTCTTAAGCTCTTTTGTTTCAAACCTGAAAGTTGATGATCTTCAAATAGCTAAATGGTTTTTCTTGAAGCATAGCTAAGAACACTCTTGATTAAGACACCTTTCAAATGAAAAAATAAATACAATTAAAATCGGTTCTTTCATTCTGGAGCCATGATGCCACAGACAGACACACAATACAAACGTACCACCCCTCTGTTTTCATCAGGGGCTAATTAAAACAATCATAACTATCCATTATGTAAAGACACGGCCACAATAAAAATTATTTAGCTATATTAGGTATCATTTTCGATATGATATATATGATAAAAAATTTAGAAAGAAATTAATCTACACTTGTACAGTAATATTTTAACATATTTTTAAAGTGGTTAGTATGCAAGTTTGTTTAATAGGAGTTAATCTTTCAAACTGCTAGTCTAATTCTGAAAATTTTCTTAAGTTAACAAGCACAACAAACACGGGAAGTGTACACGGAAGTGAAGAGACAATGGTTGTTTAATTCAAATATCATCAGGTTTCAGTATAAATTTAAACATTAAGTATACTGGTAAAACTATTGAAAAATAATCAGATTGTCTACTATATAGGCATATGCTAAGCTAACCAAAAAGTTATATATTGAATAAAACTATTATTTACGGATTTTATCGCGTTTAATTACAATTTTAATTTATTTTTATTATCCCGACGTTTCTGGTGATAAGATCTATAAAACCCGCGTGAAAGAACATATAGCTGACGTGAAGCGAGGATGATCCGGGAAGTATGCAGTCTGCAAACATGTTCAAGATCATCCCCACCAATACATTAGATTTGATAAACCACAAATCCTCGCGAAAGAGCACCGAAATCCACCAAGGATACATGAGGCTATTGAAATTAAAAAATATCCAAATTTCAAGAGCAGATGTTTGGGTGCTGCCATCTGCTTGAGATCCTATAATTTACAAAATTAAACCCAAACCCACCATATCACTGCAAGACTTTATGGTACTATAAGCTTATTTTGCATAAATCGGACCAAAAGTTAATATTCAAAAACTGAAGGTAGCCGGACTATGATATTGGGACGTCAAATATCTCAGTCCCCCCCCCATGACCATGGGTGCTGTAAAGCACCCGAAACGTCTGGATAATAAAAATAAATTAAAATTGTAATTAAATGTGATAAAATCCGTAAATAATAGTTTTATTCAATGTGTAGTGTTCGCGTAAATTTAAGAAATCAGTTATATTTTTTTTTTTAAACTGAAGTGATCAACGAGCTTATGTCCACATTTTTTTTATAGGATAGGGTGACAAACAAGCACACAGTCCACCTGATGGTAAGTGGTTGCTGTGGCCCATAGACATCTACATCTATCCTCAATTACGAATCAAAATGCAGATGCGTGGTTGATTTTGTTAACCCATGAGGACTTAGATGGAATGCCTCATTTTCAGTAAAAAGGTTCTCCGGTTCTCTACACTCACCATACGAAACACAGCAGCTACTATTTTACACTGGTATTCAGTGAGAGCATGGTCCCTCCCTGGTCGAGTTACTGCAGTGTGGCTCTACCACATATAAAATGATGGTATGTTGTTCCTGAAGTCAACTTCAAACAATGAAGACTTCACTTGTGTTGTCATTTCTGATCTATGGTGATTGGAGCCGCTCTTTGGCTTTAAATTTAAGAAAAGATACAACAAATATGTAGTTGTTTTTTAGTAGTAAATGTGCAAACTGGTGTCTGAATTTTTATAAAAAAAATTACCTATTATTGTTTGTTGTTAATAATTTTTAGTTGTACTAATACTTTTGATGACAAACAAATTTTGTATTGCGAATTTAAAAAACCCACTGTCAAATGTATAGGTAGTTATTGCAATTTCCGACATTTCTATTACTCTAAACTCAGTCCGATAGAGTTGTTTGATCTTTATAACAAAAGAAACAGGATATATTGTCACCAAAAGAGTTTTTGTGTAAATTTTCCACATTCTTGCTAACTGTACATTATTATATTTGTCTGAGAATGCAGGTCAAAATATTTCCAATCTAAGAATGCTTTTCTGTAGCTATAAATTTTAACATTCTTGCTCTTACCTGTGTCAAAAATCCACATATATAATAATTATAATGTGCAGTTTTTGTTGGTAATTGATTGTTCAATAACATTTAAAAAAAAAGTTGAATTTTGTTTTTGAGATTTTTTTAATTTTAGAAATAGTAGTAGTAACACTATAAACATCACTAATACTCCTGTTAATTACTCCCAAGTAAGCTTAAAATGCTTAGGAGTTTTTCATAACTGTAGTCAAATGGTGGACTAACTGGGTAAACCCACAATTTGGAATTTGCAGTCGATTCCCAATAACCAATTAGGTAAATATTAACCAATAGGCTTTTATGTTACCTACTACCAATGTCATAATATTTTTGTTTTGTTTCAGATTGAATGTCAATTGTAATGAATTTCAATAATGTGCTGTGCAGTCATAATGGAAGTAATGTTTTATAAATGTTAATAAATTAAGATTAATTTTAACAACTTTTTTATTTCCCTATTATTTCATCATGATGAACAGCCTCCTCAACAGATTTTATTCGCAATAACCAGATTTTTTAATAGAATAAGGGTAACAAACAACACACTGTCACTGGATGCTTTATTTTCAACTTTTCTCAAGTTTGAATCAAACTGCAAGTGCGTTGTCACCCCTGAAGTCTAAGATGAAATGCCTTGTTTCTTAAAGAAATGGGTACCGGTTCTCTACATTGACCATACGAAGCAGCAGCATTAAGCTTAATAGTTATTGGCTGGTCGAGCCGGCTCATTGGTCCTACTACCGTAGCGTAGCTCTAATATATAGAAAAACATTCAATAGCTTTGAAGAAGGTTGCCAAACTAGCTGGTCAGTTTGGCAATCTTCTTTATTTTATGGCTTCTTTTAAAAGAAGTCTTTGGGGAGTAACAACAAAGTAAACAAAATCTATTTTTTATATTTTTTTTGTGTTTGGCTTCTAATCTACAACAAAAGAACACAAACATTTACAATTCTGTAAGTATGTGTAATGTATTATGTTACAACTTAATATTATTAGTATAGACAAATGAAGAGAATAAAAGAGACAGCAGACAGGTAGAGTTAGTAGGACGATGAATGTTTTGGGGAAGGATAACATACAAGGAGAACCTGAGTTGTGGGCATTTGAAAAGTATGTGGTCAGTAAAACCTTCGTCAAGACCATATTCACATAAAAAATTATCCCTTATTCTTAATTTGGCTAGGTGTACTGGTGTGCAAGAATGTCTGAAGCGAAGATGGCAAATGGTTGATGTAGTAAATTTGTTGGCTTTATGATAATGGATAAACCGAGGTTTGTATGGGATTACATCTTGAGCCCGAGCGTAGTGTTTACATTTTATATTTTTAGTTTGTCCCCAGAGATCTTGCCAATCAGCCAGATCCTGCTAGTGGTGGCAAGTCATGGGGGAAAATTTGGTACCAAGAGAGGGTACCTGTTTGTGTCGCTTTCTTAGCCAAATATTAGCACCCTCATTACCATGTATCCCAGAACCTGGAATCCAGGTCAAAACAAATTTTAGGCCTTTTTTTGTGAACACTATAATATAATGCTTTTTTAATAAAGAGGGTAGGGAAAGGAGTTGTTTTAGAGTGGAAGGAGCTGGAGATGGAGAGAGAATTTAGGTATTTTCCAGGTTGTGAGATTCGGCATATAGGATTGTCTGTAAAATGGCAATAGTGCATATAGCTGAGAAAACTGATGATTCAGGTGGGCACTTAATTAAAATTATTCTATATTTAGGGATCCAAACTGAGAACCTACACAATCTTTGCTAGAAGTCTGAAGCGTATGTGTACATAATGATCCAGTCTTGCCAATTTTCTGAAATGATATTCTTTAATTTACTCTTAGGATCAACAGTTATCTTGTCAGGTTCAATGTCAAGGATGATATTAGGATTAAAAACTAACGTTTCGTAGGGAGTGGAGAAGAGTACCTAAGTTGATGCTATTTTGGAAAATTGGAGATTGAATATTTACAAACTCTATATAGCTTTTTAAAAGGCATGGTGTATTTTATATATCCTATATCTATGTCGCCGGTATGGAGAAATTGAAATTTGCTGATGAAGTGAGTGTAGTATAAGAAACAGCGGATGGTTATGAAGAAAACACTTTTTGAACCAGATTATGTCTGATCGGTACTGCCTGCGAAGAAAGAGAGGACCCTCACCACACTCGACCTGAAGAGCATAAGTGGGGGTAGATTTCATTCCTCCTTAGAATTCAAAGCCAATTCGAATGCATTTTACTTGAATTTGATGCAAAGTTTTAAGTGCGCTCTTGTTGCATGATTCCCACAAAAGTGAAGCATAGTTGAAATGGCTTCTTATTAAATCATTATACAAGAGCTTTTGGGAGTAAGGATGAGAGCCCCACCAAGCTCATATAGCGCGAATGACGTTAAGATTTTTTTCGCATTTGGAAGCTGTGTAGAATAAGTGAGAAATTCCAGACAATTTATTATCTAGCATATCACCGAGGAATTTCACATGGCTCACATTGGGAATCAATAAGTCTCCAATAGAGATTGACACTTCTGGAATGAGTCTTCGTCTCGGAAATACCACGATTTTACTTTTTGGGGGAGTGAGCCGTTCTA